CCCAGTCTTTCGGCGGACCCGTCGCTTTAGTGAAGTCTACAAAGTAGTTCTCCCCTTTCCAGGCCTTGTTCGCCGGACAGTTCGTATGAAGAGGGTTGCAGGCGGGTTCGAGCTGTCCATTCACGAACTGGGCTATGAGGCCCAATGTGCTAAGCAATCCCAAATATTCTCTCTTTGGCATAATGATGACCTACTATGAGTCTGTAACGATTGTAAGAAATTGAATTTGTCTTTTGAAAAGAGAACTTTTCGACGCAAGTTGCTCTTGATGCGACATTTCAACTAGGCATATCAGTATAGGCATGATAAAGAATTTTTCTATATCAGCGCAGCACGTAGCGGCCGATGACAATGTCAAAGCAACCGTGAAAGGGGCAGCAAGCCCGATTCCAAATGCGGTCAACATGAATGTCAAGTTCATTTACTTGGCGCGGTCCGGAGTATCCCCTTACACAAAGCTATAAGGTCCTTCTTAATCGAAGGATAACAATAAAAGTTGGGCTCTCAGAGTCTAGTATCATAATGCCTTTATAAGGCAAAAGTTAGTAGCAAAGGAGTGCATAAGTTTCATTTGAGGGTCTCTTTGTTGCTCCGGACCAAGACAGAAATTTGGCGGTTTGTGATTCGCCGGAGTCATTCTTGCAGAATCTTCGCGTCTATGCTATTTTGCTCAATCATCTCAGAAGGGCCTTCTCGTTATCGATTTTAGAGGCAGCACAAACAAAGTAGAAGAGTGCAGAACCAGGCGACTAGATAGGCTCCCGCAATAAAACGTGACAGCTCACAAACATCGAGTTTGGTGACATGTTACCCAAAAGACGATGCCTAGGTAGTATCATCTGTTTGAGATGATATCATGTCGCTTGTCACTTGACTTGAAGAACATACCGTCTAGCGTTGTAGCAAAGATATTTGTTTGACCTCGATGAAATTCGTATGAAATACAATCTGCAAGTAGTACTAATCGCATATATTGTCACCTGTCATATTTGACTTGAGCAAACAAAGGTGACAATAAGCTGGGTGCTTACAGTACAGTACATACAACACGATACATGTATGTACTGGTCTGTCAGGCAAATCCTGGCATCACACCGAGCGCCTTCCATCCCTAATACGGTAAGTGGGGTGGCAGTCACCTGGAGCTGAACCCTTGAGTCGAGCCTTGTCCTTTTTCAGTGGGGTGGCAAGCACGCCTCGACGGGCTACCTACCTACTAAGTGGGACGCGGACGCCCAGGCGCACGCGCAGGCAGCACGGTAGGGCAAGTAAGGAGCGAGAAAGGCTTCCAAATCCGGGCCTGCCCACCTGCCTTCGCCTCCCAATCCCTCGGATTGCTACTGGACACAACGTCCTGAACATCACTTTCTTTTTGTCACTCCCGGCATTTGTTGCATTTGCTCTAGCATTGGTCGCCTGATTTTCGCCTATCCCTTCCTTCCCTTTCCCGACCCCGTCTAGACCGCCGCACTCCACAGCAGGGCGAACCACTCTCTTTTAGATGCATCGTCTGCGTATTCGCTGAGAATCTGCCGTCCCCCGCGTTATAACCACGTGCGCGCACCCTCGCCTATTTCGGTCATCACTCGTTACATTATATACCATGTTCTAGTCTCCTTTTCCGTTTCACAAGCGAGGCGCTATATATCATACGTAGTCAATAATCTTCGTGGCCGCTGGGGACTTGTGCAGCTATGGGGCTTTTCGGAAAGTCTAAAGTCCAGGCGGCAGCGCCCACTATGCGCGTAGAGAAGGTTGTTGTGCCAACCAAGCCGCGACCAAAACCGATTTCCCTCAACAGCGCGCGTGCATCATCTACCCACCTCTCGGTGCCGGCGAAACTACAACCCAACCCGCGCACATCGCGACCGAAGAGCGCCTCTCCCTACCCCTCCTCCTCGGACGAGCGGCGGATCGAGCGGAAGCGCAAGGCTGTCACGAGCACCCCCCGCGACTCGCCTGTTTTTGGCAACGACACGGAATCAGAGGACGAGGATGGCGATCCGTTTCGAAAACGCATGCGACGGAGTGCTGGGAGGCCCCTCGACGTGAACCGCAGGCTGCGTCATAAGAAAGCATTTGGCGATGAGACCAGGAAACCCAGTATCATTCATGCAGCTGATATCGCCTCGCGAGCTACTGGATGCCCCCAAATTTCTGGTACAAAAGATGATGAGGTCGCCATTGAGGTTCAGTATCCTTCACGGTGCGCACGGGAGAGGTACGTATTGGCTTATTTAGCAGGTTCAAAATATAGCACTAACTTCCAACTCGAGATATGAGCTCGTTTGGCAAAAAGATAAGATCGATGCCGTCAAGGATATTCTTGCCATAATCGAAAACGTAGCCGAGACATATCTTACCGAGAGCGATTCCAAGACTTTCATCGATCACAACATGAGTTTCAGGAGGCAGATGGAGCGGGCCGTAAGCGAAAAGTACCGAGATGTCTCAGCTTTCCGAGCCGCACTGAGCGATTACAACACGAAACTTCTTGAGTTGGTAAAGGACGGCACTGTTGCCAAGAACCTCGACCGAATCCATCATCTACCATCTAGTCTCGTTTCCTTGATCCTGACCCAGGTCTACGATCGCACAGTCGCCCCAAAAGTGGAAATGTTGACAAAGTATGACGCTGGAAGCGATAATGTTTATGGAGAACTGCTACACCCATTCGTCACCAAAATTCTGGTAGAACAGACGAAAATGACATCGGACCAAGTCTTTATTGATCTTGGGTCTGGTGTTGGAAACGTTGTTCTCCAAGCCGCGCTCGAGATTGGGTGTCGCAGTTATGGGTGCGAGATGATGGAGAATGCTTGTAACTTGGCGGAGGCGCAAGAAACAGAGTTCAGGTCCAGGTGCATGCTCTGGGGTGTGGCTCCAGGAAGGGTTCATCTCGAGAGAGGCGACTTTCGCACAAATTCGAGGATTCTTGAAAAGTTGAAAGAGGCCGATGTTATACTCGTGAACAACAAGGCATTCACATCAACTCTGAATGATGCCCTCATCAACATGTTCCTCGACCTGAAAAAGGGATGCAAGATCATATCTCTTAAATCATTTGTACATGATAACAAAACAGCGATCAACGACGTTGCCACGAGTATCCTCGACGTTGAGCACTTTCGATATCACGAGAATTGGGTTAGCTGGACTGGATCCGATGGCGAATATTATATCTCGACGAGGAAATAATGTTTGATCTAGGTTCGCTGTATAGGGGTCCATTGCCTTAGGTGAGACAGACGTTAGTTTCTGTAGTTTGTACTTCTACACGACTTATACGGGAGGGATGAGGGTCTGGGCGATCATTGTGCTAAGATTGCATAGCCTGCGGCATGCGAGCATCGGCTGGGACGAGCGATACATTTTTTAGACACTTACGGCATAGACGAAGCAGCTATAGATGATACCATGCATAGCAATGATATACGGTGTTTTTCTCCAGCTGGGTCGTGTTTCTGTCATCTTTGATGCTTGGGTGATTCGTTTTGGAGGTTCAGGGCGTCTGCTTCACGGCCCATCCGCTTCATCCAACGGTCAACAAGCTCCTTGTTCTCGGCTTGCACCTTTGCCGTTTTCTGAATGGTCATGTTCAGTTCCATATTTAGCGTAAGATTCTCATCTTGGACGTCCTAGAGAAGTGAAAACAGTCAGCATGACAAGATCTTCTCTCTGATGTGTGGGCATCAACTGTCCGCTCCCTTCGTGTTTGTCTCTCCACAGTGCTACCCTCATCACCTTCACGCGAATGTTCCATATCAAATTTGGCCCTCACGAAGCCCCCGCCTCTGACATCGAAGACTATATTCGCGTACCTTCAGGAACTTCTTCTTCCCGTCGAGTTCCTCGTGTAAATCGCGCACCCTTGCCGTCAGACCGTTGCGCTCAGCCGTCAAATCATTGATGCGTTTATTATCAACTCTATTCTTGGATCGCAAGGACGCGAGCTCGGCCTCGGCGGCCTTGAGGCGTGTCTCGGCCTGGCCACGTCCGCGGAGAGCCTCAGCAAGATCGAGGCGGAGTTGTGCTGTGCCCCTTTCCGAGGCCGCTGAATCGGCCGCGTTGGCGGGTGGCGGTTTTGAGGGCGTCGCCGGCGCTGCTGCTGCCTTGGTGGCAGGAGTCGGTGGAGCGGCGGCCCGGGCCACCTTTTCGGCCTCAAGCGCTGCGACATGGTCTGCGAGCTGGGAGCCTAGGAAGGGGGCAAGGGAGCATGGCTGTCAGCTTCGTATGGCTATGAATAGATAATAGATCGATCGACGAATCTGTGTTTACGCAGGGGCAGTTTTGATTCATGAATATTGTTGGTTGGTGGTCCTGGTGTTGGTATTGATGTTGTGACAGTGTCGTCATCCAACGAACGGGCAAAGGGCGAGCCAGCTTACAAGCTTCAACCAGATCCTTGTTCACCGGATTGTTGCGCTCCGCCTCTTGCAACGAGGCCAGATAATCGTCCCGCCAGCTGGGCATCCTATTTGTCTGCCGAACTAACACCTCATAAATAGTTCATCAGCTCACTACCATGGTAGCATAAGGCTTCGAATCGGCTGGGCGAAAAGCGTCATGCGAGCGAGGGAGGCTAAGAAGAGGTTGAAACGGGCAAGACTGCCCAGGTGAGGTTAATGGAGGGGTCAGCTAAAGTATGGCGGGGCCAAGTGCCGTAGTAGGTACATACCTAGAACCGTACCTACCTAAAGCAGATGTTACGCATAATCAAAACGACATCACTTCCAGAATCTATAAACAGCAACACCTACTGCGTACTACCACTACATTCGGACGTTCTGATAGAGAAGTCCCTAGGTAATTATTTAGTAGTTTGTAGATTTGACCAGCCCGTAAACTTGTCACTTACCTGATCGCGACGGATGGGCAATAATAGAAACCACCTTTGGAATGTATTACTGCATATAGACTACGAGCCTACCTGGTACCAAGTAAATAGCGGACGAGGATAAAAAACAAGAATACCGCCCAAAAAACAAACAAACATATGCTGATCTCGCTGGGGGTCGAACCCAGAATCTCCTGATTATCGTGAAGTGTCCACTGAATGGATTCTTCGTCGTAGTCAGACGCCTTGCCATTGGGCCACGAAACCCTGCATCGGCTCTTGAATTCGAGTTGAGATAGTCAGGCCGTATGCTGCGTTAATAGCTGAAAGAAAGGTGTTGCGAAGCTAGATTCGGAATAGCCTTCTACACCATAACTTATAGCATGACTCGTCGAAGCCTCCAGCTCCATAAAGGAAAGAAAAACTAAAAAGAATTGGGAGACTTCCCGCATACATAGGTAATAGTGAAGGAGAAAAAAAAAGAGTAAAAAAGTCGTTGCTGATCCCAGTATTCTGGGAGGCATCGGGAATTGAGCCCGATGCGGGGGTCGAACCCGCAACCTTGAGATTAAGAGTCTCACGCTCTACCGATTGAGCTAACCGGGCAGCGATATGGGGAGAAGGAAACCGACCCGCGCTGCATGTTGGAGGCACGTGCCGTTAATGATCTCTATGAACTCAGATAGTTAAGTTGTTGGTTGCTATTTGACTTCAATACAGCAGCATACTAAGGTTGTACTTCTAAGATATCGTGCGTAGGAGTTGGCGATATTGACCCTAGCTATCGAGCTAATCTTGTAGCTTAACCGCGCTCAGAATTTGTCCCTCGGAAAGATTCAATTTACTTCTTTTCTCTTTGTAACATTAAGCAATGTTCACCTAAGCATCCTTACTCGTTTTGCATGCCTAACATCAAGTAAGTATCGGAAAGTGCAATTATTCCAGAACTGTGTCAAAGATTCTCGATTAGCGTGCTACGCATATGCTATGTATTACATTGTTCCTATGAAGAGGTGAGCACACTTAATAGCTAGTAATTATGAGTCAAGCCGTAGTGAAACACTATCTTAACATGAAGCAATGTAGCAAGCCTAAAGTGCCAGCGAAGTTTCACTGACCCATCGGGTTGAATTTTGTCTCTGATATTAATTTACAACCCTCTATCAGGTTAGTTTTTATTGATTCGTATGTAGCGTATATAGCATCTACGTAAGTCGGCGTATAAAAGTAATACTATATTGTTCAGCGCCATACGGCAAGACGAAAATAGAGCTACGGCTTACGAAAACATCTGTCGCGTAGCAGCCACGATAACCAGCAGCTCATGTGACACCGATAACCATAGCTAACATTACTGATGACACGCCTTGCGTACTGGGTATGCCTATGAAAGAACTATAGGCTCCTCTCTTGCCGTCGGTTAAGTCTAGCTTTATGTGTTAACATTCGTATAGTGGATGAGGGAGTGTTCTCCAGAAACTTGGGTGCCGAGGGGTTATTCAAAGTGTGATTGTACCAGTGTGGCGATGCTATCAACAGTTGAGCAGGAGCCTTTCCCCTTGGTCTTCGGGGCCGCGGCCGGGCCGGCCAGTTCCAGAGACCACGAGACTCTGTTTTCAAGTCATGATTCGCTGAACTCTGGACCTCGACCAATCCTCGACCGTTGCCATTTTCGGTGAGAGTCGGGGTTATGATGCGTTGGCAGTCGATTGTATGTTGAGAAGACCGATATGAGAACACAACGACACTATCTTGACGCTGCCCTATTTCGCTGTAAAAACGCCCCTTGCATGTCGTTGGTAGCAAGATAGGATGATATGCACCGCAAGTCCCGAACAAGATCCGACCATGTATAACTAACAATGGACAAAGCAAACCCGGAAGTTGAGCCTTGTAGTCACGTCGCAAACATGCTCACAATCCCTGAGGGTCTTGTTACAACAATCGTCATTGCTCATGGCTTTCAAATATAGGGGGTGCTGGTAAGGAGCTCGGGGGCTCTTGATCTTTGGCATATGATTATTGGATATGATAGTATTATTTGAGAGTTGATATTCGCTACAAATAAGTAATAGAGTTTACGTAGTTGAAGAAAATAACACACTAGGTCTTATGGGTGGAATTTAGTTGATGGTACGTACTAACGCTAATATAACGATCGAGATCGCGCACAAAAAGGGCGTTCGATGAAGAAAGATCGTGGCCCATTTAGGAAATAATACACCACTTTGAACTTTCGGCGCAATAGCGCCTCCCAACCTTAGACTGTGTCGCACGTTGGATTGCTACTAGTCCATATTTGGTTAGGCCTTGGAGCGAGGCGCAAAGTGCATGCAGAGGCGCGCCAAAAACCCGTCGATGACGTTCTGATTGGCTCGACGCGTCACCGGGGTTAAATAACAACACGACACGTCCGACCCAGCGACCACTCCCGGATTCTCCTGTGCGACTAATCTGGAATTACTCTACGCGCTGTCCACCCTCATCCAATCGCTTGCTACCACCTCCATAATCCCAGACGGTCTGTACACCCGGACGAGCTGTATTTCCATCGTTCCACAGAGCATCTCACATCGCAGTGTTCCTGGCCATCCGGGGATAATACTGCACTACAGCAAGTTCAGCGAAGAGGACAAGACCAACGTGCGTACGGAGTAATCAATGGTAGAACTCCAGAGGATGGGATAGTACAGACTAAGCCAGCTCTCAAGTCTACTGCTGCATATGAAGTCTACAACCACCACTTCGGCAGCAGCTTTCTTCGTCACGCGTCCTTGAATGGATGGACCAGCCTATCTTGCCCGCCCATCTGCTGCCTTCGAGCACGGTTTTTGTTCGCCTCTCTTCCTATTTCTCTGCTCTATGCCACTTGCTTCAAACCTTTTCGGACTACCGGCATTCTACTTCTCAGAAGGACTAGCACAAAGCTAGGAACTGACTAAGACTTCATAAAAACCTGGAATCGAAATGTGGTAGACTTGCCGGGTCTGGTTTGATTGTGTCAACCGAAACCTGTTCGGCCTGCAAGCACGCAGCATAGGTACATCGTACTGTCAAACCACTCTGGCAGTACGTACCTGTCTATCTATGGTTTACATCCGCCAACTATAATCGGCCCCACCTATCCCTTGCTCTGGATCCCTGTTCACTAGTACATTGCACCGATTTTCACTTCCATATCGCTCACCATCGTGTCAACCTAGAGGGCTCTGAACCAATCCTCTCTCAGACTCAGCTCCTTCTGCCGGGAACGCGACCCCATAGCGGTCCACTTTTCTTCTGCGTCCCACTGCTGCGTTGGCCGACTAAGCCCTACTCGGTTTTCCATTTAGCACTCTGAGGTGCCAGTCCTTCTCAGTTCCATTCTTTCTGCCATCCAGTCTAGTGCAGGCGTAACGCACCCACGCCCACGCCCACGCACCTGTCCTACCCAACTTGCTTTTCAGCAGTGCACTACTGCCTGTACGTACCCACGCATCCCCTCTGACTCTTGTGCTATTGTACTTGCATACCTGGTGTCAGTCTTCCCCCAGATCTCGACGATCCAGCACCCCCTCCCTTTCGTCCTCCATCCTCTATCCATCCATCTTCCCCCATCCTAGTTTGTCCACCATTACTACTTCCATCAGCTTGTGCTACTGCTCATTGCAGAACCATCTACCTCGGTCGCTTTGCGCAGCATTTTCATCCGAAAAGCGCCTTCGAATTGACAACCAGCTACTTACCAGCACAATAGCCTTTCTAGCAAGCTTTCTAGAGAAGCATATCCACCGCGCCTAAGTGCCAACCCTGCTTGCAGTCTCCACTGCTCATATCGACTCTTCTCTTCGCCCCAGGTAAGCCTCCGCTGCTTCTCATTAAACCGTCCGTCACCGTGCAATCCTCCTCCTCATCACTACGCATACTTCACGGTCTTGTCGCAATTTACTACTTCTCGCGCCCTCCAGGAAATATCATCTTAATTGACTTTAACCAGAGTATAGCGTTTTGACCCTGGCACTCTGTCATATTCGCACCCGTCGTCACTAGTCAGCATGGCTAGACCGACGCGTTTCGCGGCTCACAACGAGCCCTTACACATATTTCAGGATGATTTTCAAGATGAGAACTACGGACAGCCAGCGCCAACGCCAACTATAAGCCGAGCTCCAATGCCATCTGTAGGAAAACAATCATCACCACGACGACCATTGCAGAACTCGAGCGGCAATCTGGCGATCAATCCTCCCAATGGCCACGGCCGAAAGCATCATTCTCCCAACAAGGCCATTAGCCGGTCTTCAATCACACCGTTGGGCTCGTCACAGAATCGCAAACTAAATGCCATTAGTATATGTCCGCCGACATCGAATGCCGCCGGTACCGACTCGATGCCAAAGAAACCTATGATGTCGACATTCAAGACCACCAACGCGAAGCATGCGAGTATTGACAAGGAAAATGTGCATCCCACCCTATATCCCGCGCCTCCGACGTTGAACCTCAACGTTGAGGAATATTATCCGACCCATGCGCGCAAACGTGCTGCCCTTCTAGAAGCCGCCCCTATCATGGAATCAAGAATATCCAAAAAGCCCAGACTCAATGATCCATCCGCTGCTGAGTCGTCTGTTGGAGAACCGACCACTTTCCCTCTCATTTACGACGACGGAACAAAACCTGGCCTTAGCTATGCACAATTGATTGCAATGGCGATTCTCCGCTCACCTAATCAGAAGCTCACCTTAGCTCAAATCTACAAGTGGATCTCAGACACGTACTCGTTCTACAATGCCAATGACGCAGGCTGGCAGAACAGCATCCGGCATAATCTTAGTCTCAATAAAGCCTTCATCAAGCAGGAACGTCCAAAGGACGACCCGGGAAAGGGACATTACTGGGCTATTGCTCCGGGTATGGAGCAACAGTTCTTGAAGGAGAAGCCGAGCCGGAAGGCATCGGTAGTATCGGAGAACGTGCACATCATGTCAATGGCACCACGGATTGATTATTCACATTATGAAACACCTTTCCTCCAAGACGGATTACCATCGCTGCCTACTATACCCCAAGCCACTCCGTATCTCCACGATATGTCCCAGGCCCCAGTTACTACTGCCCCTGAGCCTTCGTCGGACGCCACCATCCCTCTGTCTGATAATCTTTGTGCTGAGGAACTAGCTGATAAGGCCCATGGGCTAAATGGTCCTGAGACGACATCCCTCCCGTCTCCGCTGCCACCAGCTATACTCTCATCACCTCCTATGCCTCGTATTGTGAAGCCGGAG